TATTCCCACTATTATTCAGACTAAATTACTTGTTTTTTTTTTTTTTTTTGCTAGAAAATGGTTCATGGGGCATATTATTTAGGGGGGATTTGGATGTGGGCTTGGGTGGAGGATTGTTCTTGGGGGTCTTCTTGGATAGTTAGTTCATCTAGATTAAAGTTATCAAGGGTTAGTTCTTCAAGAGTCTTGGTGTGGTATTCTTCGCTAACTTTTAGTTTTAATAGTTGAGTGATTTGTTTAGTATTTATTAGTTTACTAGTAGTAACCGTAGTGGGAGAAATTTGGTAGGGAGTATTGAGGAAGAATTGGTTATATTCTAATTCTATCCTTTTATATTGTTGGTAGAAAGGAGTATTTTTTTCGTGTACGACTTCCTTTAATCAGGAATAAATAATATTACTTAAATCCAGATGTCTCAAACTAGTTAAATTGTTAGGCAAAGTAAGATTGGTTAGGAAATTGTCGCCACATTCAAGCTTAGTTAAATGACAACAATTACTAACATTTAAGGAGGTTAACTTATTACCAGTACAATCCAGCCTTTTTAAATTAATAAAATCAGAGAGGTCTAACTCTCCTTTTAGTTTTTTTTTAATATTTAACTCTTTAATTTCGCTTCTTTGTCTTTTGGGGTAATTAATGTCTAGTCATTCTTGAGTACTAATTTCTTCTGTTGATCCTTCATTAGAATTACTTTCCTCAGAGATAACCTGCTGCTCTTTCAACTCTATTCTTTCAGTATTTTCTTCTAGTTTTTTATCATCTTTTTTCCTGCTACCTAAGCAAAAATAACCATATTCAATTATGTTTTTTATACTTTCCATTATTATTTCTTTAAATTTACTTTGATTCCTCAAGAGTTAGGGAAATTCAGTTTATTATTAAATTTGAATCAAATTGCTGTTGTGCGTTTACCATATTTTTTTTGTAATATTATTTTCTTCCTAATTTCCTTACTCCTTGACTAGGTAAGGATTAACTTCAATTTTGGCTTCCATTCTTTGTTCTGGTTGAGACTGAATTACTTCACTTTGTAATTGACAAAGATTGTTGATTTCCTCTAAAC